TACTACTACTACTACTATGCATACTACTACTAAAACTACTACTACTACGGTCACTACTACACTCACTACCAGTGCTACTACTACTACTACCACTACTACTACTAGTACTACTACTACTACTACCAGAATTGCTACGACTACTACTACTACAACTACTACTACTACTCGTACTACTACTACTACTACTACTACTACTACTGCTACTACTGCTACTACTAGTACTACAACAACTACTAGTACGGTTGTACTACGACTACGACTACTAGTACTTCGGCGCCAGTCGGCGCGCGACCAGGAGGGGTCCGCTCGCCCGACACTGACCCGGCTACTACTAATACTACTTCGACTACAATTTTTTCTACTACAACTACTACTACTACTACTACTACTACGACTACGACTACTACTACTACTACTACCACTACTACTACTACTAATAATAATAATAATAATACTACTATTTCTACTACTACTACTACTACTACTACGAATACGACCACCACCACTACTACTACCAGTACCACTACTACTACTACTACTACTACTACTACTACTACTAGTACTACTACTACTACTACTACTACTACTACTACTACTACTACTACTTTTACTACTACTACTACTACTACTACTACTACTACTACTACTTCTACGACTACTACGACAACTACTACCACTACGACGACTACTACTACTACTACTACGACTACTACTACTACCGCTATGACTACTACTTCTAAGACTACGACTGCTACTACGACTACTACTACTACTACGACTACTACTACTACTACCACTACTACTAGAACAACTACGACTACGACTACTACTACGACTACTATGACTACGACGACTACTATAACTACTACTACTACTACTACGGCTATTTCTACTACTACGACTACCACTACTACTACTACTATTACTACTACTACTACTACTACTACTACCGCTACTACTACGTTCACTACTACGACTATTACAAATACTTCACAAATACTACTACTACATTTACTTCTACTACTACTGCTACTGGTCTTTTTACTACAGTAGTAAAACTAATACAGCTATTATTAGTATTATTCGTATAATTATTATGCCTACTACTACTACTACGACGACTACTATACTACTGCTACTATTACTACTACTACTACTACTACTACTACTACTATTACTACTACTACTACTACTACTACTACTACCACTCCTACTACTACTACTACTACTACTACTACTACTACTACTACTATTACGACTGCTATTACGACTACTACTACTACTACCACTACTACGACCTTTACTGCTACTGCTACACCTACTACTACGACTACTACTACTACTACTACGACGACTACTACTACTAATATCTTACTATTACTACGACGTCTACTACGACTACTACGACTAGTACGACTACTACGACGACTACTACTACTACTACTACTACTACCACTACCACTACGACTACTACGACTACAACGACTACTACGACTACGACTACGACTACTACTTTTACTACTACTGCTACTACTCCTACTACTACTACTACTACTACTACTACTACTACTAGTAGTATTACTACTACTACTACTACTATACTACTACTACTACTACTACTACTACTACTACTACTACTTCTACTACTACTACTACTACTACTACTACTACTACTACTACTACTACTACTACGACTACGACTACTACTACTACTACTACTACTACTACTACTACTACCACGACTACTAGTACTTCGGCGCCAGTCGGCGCGCGACCAGGGCAACCAAACAGGCCATCGCAAGTGGCCTGCCGCATCCGCTGCAGGCCGCCAGTGCCTCGCAGCCCTCGCGGGCAGCACGCACGGCGCGCGCGAAGGCCGCGGTCCGATCGGACGGCTCGCCCTGTAAGGGCAGCGATACGGGGGGATAGGCATAGGTGGAGATGCATCGACGCCCAATCGGCCATTGATCGCCGATAGGGGCGCGATAGCCCCAACCAGCCCAGGAAGTGTGGATTCAGTATCGGGGGCCCATCGCCGATCTATCGGCGATGTGCTGCCGATTCCAGGTCGACGCTTCCCCCACCATGCCAGCCGCCCCCCCGGATCGTTGCCCCTCAGCCCCCGCCTCCCCTCTGCAGGAACAAGGTGGAGCTCCACAGGCACATCGCGGACGTCGGGCCCGCCGCCTCGGGCGGCGACGAGTCGATCAACTTCGGCGAGCTGCTGATGCTCATGGGTAGGCTCCGCGACGCCAACTTCGCCGGCATCCGCGACAAGTTCTTCTCGTGAGCTGCCGCGGGCCTCCTCGCGGAGCGAGAAGCGCAGACCCCCGACGTCATGATTTTTCGTTACGTCGACCCCCGGAGGTCTCGACCCCTCCTCCAGGACCTGTTCTGCCTCCCGAGTCGGTCTTGGACGGCCCTGGGGCCCGGCAGGGGCCCCCAGAGACCGAGAATAGCGAAACACCTCGCGTCGTGATGTCTGCATGGCTCGAGGGGGTCTGGGAGCGCAGAGCGGGCACAGACGTTCGAAGGCCCCCGCAGTCTTCTCCGGTCGGCGCCGGACCCCGCCTTCAACGGCACCGTAACGGGTACTCACTAACGGGTATTTTGAATTTTTGCCGAAAGTTGCCACTTTAGGGCCTTTTTCTTGCATTGCAGTTTTGCCCACATCGGGAAGGGTTGGGTTCGCTGGGTCACTGGCCAAAGTACCCGTTAGTGGAGTCCCCGTTTGAGGGGTGCTGACGCCTGGGGCGGCGCCTGTGGCGGCCTCCCCCCGCGACGACACTTCGCGCGCCCGCGGGGGGCGGGGGGGGTCCAGCACAGACCCGAGGAATGCGCGCGGACCTCCGAGAGGTGCCGCGAAAGCCTCCGTTCCCGCCGCGTCTCTTTCATGGTCCACGCCGCTCCTCTCCAGGCATCTCCTCTCCGATCAGCTCTCGGCTCCCCGTTCTGTCATCCCCTCCGCCGCGTGGCATGGGCATGCTAGGCTCGGCCCGGGCGCAGGGGCTATTTTAAATCTGTGTTGGTCGCCTTGATGTGCCACTCGAATGGCTATGGTCTGGTTCCTTGGTACCTTGGTGCCCTCATGTGCAGCTGGCCATTGGGGTGCACGGTAATATTGTGTACGAGCACGAGGACTCCATTGTCGCATTTGAGTTGGTCTTGCCAGCGCCAGCGGTCGTGAAGAGTTCCGCTCGCCTCCAGCTGGATTCACCGCCCTCCCCCCCCTCCACCTCGTCTTCGTCGTCTTCTTCCCTGTTCCTTCTTCTTATCCTCTTCAGTCTCTTGCTCAAACTTTTCCTCCGCAGCAGACGGTCGAGCCAGGGTGCAGCCATCGCTGGGTTGCCTACTGTGGCTAAGCCAGAATTTGACAGGCAACAGTTGCCGGTTGTCTTCTGGGGGCTGGGAGCGTGTCCAGATGACGGATTCGTTTTGACTTAGGACTGTGAACGTCCTCGCTCGAGTCCGAAGAACTTTTCGGGCCCATGTTCAGCCCGCCAGTCACTTATTCACTTGCGTTTCCACTTCTGCCCCTCTCCGCGTACGTGCATGGCCAGCTTGCTCGATGCATCTGTTTGTCGGCACGGCCTCGCTGCCCCTCTCACCCAACGGACACGCGCGGCGAAACGATGTATGACAAACGGCTTGGTCGGTTGACCCGTGTCAGCGCTGAACTTTGCACACTCTGTTATCAAGTTGATGGTGAAGCTGCCAGCGAGTTCAGGCCCAGTCCTCCCTTCTGGTGCACCGCAGCGCTCTCAGAAAGGACCTGGCTCTTCTCGCTGTGTTTTTCGGCGCCGGCGTCCAGCCACCGCGCCAGTTGTTCGTGTGTCCACGGTGAGAACTTGGAACCCGATCGCCCTCCAGGGGGCCCGAGCGCGGGTGGTTCCTGCATGGCTGCGTTCAGAAGCGAGTCCAGGAGCCAGAGCCTCAAGGCCATGGTCGCCTTGGCTTGGAGAAGGGGGTCGATCTTCCTTGGATTCTCCTATGGGTCTGCCTCTGTCGCTCCTGGTGCATGTTGGCTTAAGTCGGGCATGTTCCTCTACAGGAGGAATATTCGAACATAGTCCAAAAATAGCCTGGGGACGATTTTTCGAGCATTCTCGTGATCATTTTGAATATGCTTTGACTATTGTTATGCTTCCTCTAAAATCTGCCTGTAGGGGGACACGCCCGACCTAAATGTTGGCGCAGCCGAGTCCAAAGAGGGGCTCCGTTAGCCAGGTTGGCTGCGTTGTTCTCGCTTGTCTGCCCCACCCTGCGGTCCACCAGGGGCCCAGGGCGCCTGAGCAGCCGCCAGTTGCCCCCTCCTTCTTTCCCTTCGCCCGTTCCTCTCCAGTCATCCGGTGTCCTCTTTGTTTTGTCACGCGGGCCCCATGTCCTTCGACCCCACCCCAGGGACCAGTTTCTCGCCCCCGACGTGTTCCGACCGTGCCGGGGAGAACTGCATCCGGAAAAGTCGGCCGTCGCGACTCGCGACGAAGGATGTGAGTTACCTTGGGGTGCGCTTTGACTCGCCCAGGCTTCCAGGGCGGTCTGGCCGTCTTCGCGAGGCCCATAAAGACCCAAGCGCAAAACAAAACAACGAACCTCGCAGACCGGCCTCGGGGTGCGACACGGAGGAGTTGTCTGGACCGAAAAGGAATTGAGAAGGCCAGAATTAGGGAAAGATGGAAACGCAAGAGGAGGAGGAGGAAGAGGAGAAGGAGGAGGAATCTTCATGTCCGAGCAACGTCAAAAAATGAGGATGAGGAGGAGGAGGAGGAGGAGGAGGAGGAGCCCCTCCCAGACCTCCGATGCTTTGATCTGTTTGACTTCGGGGTGTTTGGTGCCTCTGGGCCACTTCCCCGGGACGAGTTTGTTTTGTCCCGGGTCGAGTCTTGACGGTCCTGGAGCCTGAACGCGTCCCGAGGAGAGACGGCCAACCACCACGGTCCTTTGCGAGATATCCTTGATGGGGGGCATCGATGTACCAATACCTCCTCGCGTTGTGAAGGACCCCCTCTCCCTCCCGCCCCCTCCAATTTTCGGCCTCCAGGGGGCCTTGCCCAGGCTCCAGGGAAGTGAAAAACGGTTCAGAGCGAATAGCCAGTCCCCGGGAAAGGGTTCGGAACCTCAGGACGGGGATCTGGATTAGATGATCCGGATTGGTCTGTCAAATGGGGTGGGGGTCGTCTCGGGCCTGCTTGGGCACCCTCGTGGCCACGCTGGATCCGCATCGAGGGTATGGTCGAAGTTCGGTCCGAGATTCCAGCTGTCCTTTGTCAATGCCTCACCGAGGCGGCCAGTCTTCGAAGAGGTTGGCCTTGGGGGACGCTTTGGGCACTCGGGACAATCCGATAACGGTCCAGGCGGAAACAAATGCCTCCAGGGTGGGGTCAAGGTCGAGTGACATGTCGCGAACAAAAACGCGACGTCGCAGGTCTGGGGACGCCCATCCCTTTATATCATTTGATGACACTTGCTTAATGGCTGCCCGAGACTTCCAACGGCCTGAAAAATTAAGGCGGAGGTTCGCAGAAGGCATCTATGCACGACCATCCCTGGCCACAGCCATTCCAGGCCCTCGGACTGCCGTACAGACTCCCAGCCGGGACCCCATGCCAGGGGCAATGATGACGAGACACCACACCAGGGGCAAGGCTGGCCCTGGCCAGGCACGATCGTGGTGTGCATGTGCCTTCCGCGAGGGAGGCCTTTGAGGCGCGCTTCTTGGCGAGGCCACCTGTCCTGCCGCACGAGCGTGGAACGAAAAAGAAGTGCTGCGCGCTCTTGCTCAACCGGTCGGGCGGGGGAGGGGGGGGGGGGCGTGCGCACGTCGGGGAATCGGGCGTTAGAGCAACTGAAGAGCAGCGTATTGTCGGGACGGACAGGACCCATGTCCCCGACGCCGCGATTTTCGTCACAGCGTGGAACCCCTGAGGCCCCGACCCCTTCCGCAGGACAGGCTTTTCTCCCTGAGCACTATGTTTCACGGCCCCCGCGCCAGGCACGGGGCCCCAGAGGCCAAACGCTGTCCAACATTCGCCGTTTTTGTTTGTCCCTCCACGCGAGGAGGTCTGGGATCAGAGCAGCTGCGAAGGAAGATCTCGTCGGGGTGGGGAGGATCGGAGGTTGGGGGGTGAGATCGCAGTGGCACGGAGACCCCCAACCTGGAAATCGTTTCGTTTCGTTCGTGTCGTGCGTGCGGGCGAGGCGAAGCTGCGTGGGCGCGCGAGAGGAATGAACCCACCGTTGCTAGGGCGAAGTCAGGACAAATGATTCCCCCCCTCCCGCCCGTCCGGCGGTGGCCCGCGGTGTCCCGTGGTGTCCGGTGTCCCGTGGTGTCCCGTGGTGTCCGCCGTTGCTAGGGCGAAGTCAAGAAAAATGATTCTCCCCTTCCCGCCCGTCCGGCGGTGGCTCGCGGTGTCCCGCGGTGTCCCGTGGTATCCCTTGGTGTCCGCCGTTGCTATGGCGAAGTCAAGACAAATGATTCTCCCCCGCCCGCCCGTCCGTCCGTCCGTCCAGCGGTGGCTCGCGGTGTCCCGCGGTGCCCCGTGGTGTCCCGTGGTGTCCCGCGGTCTCCCGTGGTGCCCCGTTGAGTGAGATCGATAATGAGATCGATAGTGAGATGGATACTGAGATCGATATTGAGATCGATGTGGTGCCCCGAGGTGTCCCTGAGTGTCCCGTGGTGCCCCAAAAAGTGAGATTGATAGGGAGATCGATAGTGAGATCGACAGGTGTCCCGTGGTGTCCCGTTGTGTCCCGTTGAGTGAGATCGGTAGTGAGATCGATAGTGAGGTCGATATGGTGCCGCGAGGTTTCCCGTGGTGTCCCGTGGTGTCCCAAAACATGAGATCGATAGTGAGATCGACAGGTGTCCCGTGTTGTTCCGTGGTGTCCCGTTGAGTGAGATCGATAGTGAAATCAATAATGATATCGATAGTGTGGTCGATGTGGTGTCCCGAGGTATCCCGTGGTGTCCCGTGGTGTTCCGTGGTGTCCTATGGTGTCCCGATGAGTGAGATCGATAGTGAGACCGATAGTGAGACCGATAGAGAGATCGATGTGGTATCCCGTGTTGTTCCGTGGTGTCCTGTGGTGTCCCGTTGAGTGAGATCGATAGTGAGATCGATTGTGAGACCGATAGTGAGATCGAGAGGTTTACCGCGGTGTCCCGTGGTGGCCCGTGGTGGCCCGTGGTGTCCCGTTGAATGAGATCGATAGTGAGATCGACAAGTGTCCCGTGGTGTCCCGTGGTGTCCCGCTGAGTGAGATCGATAGTAAGGTCGATTCAGTCAGATGTTGGTTCCCCCCTCTCCCCCCCCCACAACCTCCTTACCACCCGAAGGGTGGTCGTATAGGTATTGAAATGCCAGCGCGCACAAAGGGGGTCAGTGCGATATTCGCGGCCTTCTGAGAGGACAAGAGGTGGCTTTCTAGAAATGGCCAGGGGCTTCCAGGAAGGCCTCGTAGAAGTCAGAGGGAGGAGGGTGAGGAGGAGGAGGAGGAGGAGGAGGGAGAGGAGAAAAGGGAGATGCAGAGGGAGAGGGAGACTGAGGAGGAGGATGAGGAGGATGGGGAGGGCAAGTGCAAACCCAAGACGCACCAACAATGTTGCAGTACGCCCGTCCTTCAAGTTCTTATTTCATAGTTCACTGCGCTATTGGAAGGTAGCCGTCTGAGAAGCCTCACTCAGGCCAAAACACCGTTCATGGGAATTCACTTACGCGTGTTAACGTGACTGTTGCGCCCTCGCAGTCCCAAATCGCGCTAGAACGCCAATCCTGGGACTGCAACACCGCGAATCATTGTGACTGCTGCGCTCTGACCACCCTAAATCGCGCCAGAACTCAATCCCTGGGACTTTGGCCATACGAATATTTGAAACCCTGGGAAACGTTCAAGACGAATGTGCGCGTCGCCCAAGCCGGAGCCACATGTTACAAATCACATGTCTTCCATCAATGAAGCTGTTGCCAACTTTTGAGACGAATCTGTGCGGCTCCCTAAGGCGAGTGAAAACCATGTATACTCAGTGAATATGTTGTAAACTGTTACGGCGAATGTGCGCGGCTCCCTAAGGCGAGATCCACATATCGAAAATGACCCACCCTCCATCCTTGAGGCTGTTGCAACATGTCCATGCGAATACACGCGTCGCTACGGCGAGAGCAACATTTTGAATACGGCCCGCCCTCCATCCGTGAAACGGTCGTAAATTTCAAGCTTCAGGATCATGAATGGTGCGGGGGGGTCCAGCGAAAAGCCTGGCACGGCATACCGACACGTCTGGGGGTTCGACGGGGAGGAGGACTCCATATCGGTTTCGGCCCCACGCGATTTTGAGTTTGTTGCTGGTATCAGGAGAAGGGGGGCAGAGAAAGAGAGACAGAGAGAGAGAGAGACAGAGAGCGAGAGGGAGAGAGAAGAGAAGAGAGAGGTTGGACCGCCCCCCAAAAAGATCTACTTCATAAGCATGTTTCACGATTCCTCTTCGCCTTCTCGCCTCCTCTTAGCCACCCGTATCCGCATCCTCTGTCTCCTCATCCTCGCCAACGTCGTCCTCCTTCTTGCGCAGTCTCATCTTCCACAGAACTATTCCTCTTCTCCTCCACTGCGGCGGATTCACAAACGCATTCATTTTGCAGAGGATCTACGACAGGATTCCCCCTGCGGGGAGTGACAAACGATTCTGCTTCGTGGGCGGTTCGCACATCGATTCCCTATGCGGATGGTGGACAACTCAAGACACAAGGAAGAGCCAACACCACAGAAGAATTCAAATACCCAGGACTCAACAGACAGACACACGACAACCTACGGAACAGCAACACACAATACAACACCCGAGAGATCAATACCGACGCTTTCCGAGGTTCCATTGCTCCACAGTCCCGTCTCTCCTCGACCCACCCCTTTCCACCCCCCTGGCCTCCTCGCCTTTCACTCCTCCTCCTCCTCCTCCTCCTCCTCCTCCTCCTCTTCATCCTTCTCCTCATCCTCATCCTCATCATCCTCATCCTCATCCTTCCCCCCCCCCCCCAGCCCCTCACCTCCTCTTCGCCGTGCCTCCTCTCTCCTCCTCCTCCTCCTCCTCCTCCTCCTCCTCCTCCTCCTCCTCCTCCTCCTCCTCCTCCTCCACCTCCTCCTCCTCCTCCTCCTCCTCTCTCCCCCCTCCTCGCTACTTTCTCACCACTTCTCCTCCTTCACCTCCTCCTCCTCATCCTCATCCCCCATCCCCCGCCCTCTCCCCCCTCCTCCTCGCCTTCCCTTGTCCCTGCCGGTCCCTGCTTCTCCTCCCCCCTTCCCTCCTCTGGGGAGGAGGCGGGTGAGGCGTGAGGAGCAGGACGAGGAGTAGGGTGAGGGGGAGCGGGAGGAGGAGGAGGAGGAGGAGGAGGAGAAGGAGGAGGAGGCGGAGGAGAAGGAGAAGGAGGAAGAGGACGAGGAGTCGGAGTCGGAGTCGGAAGCCTCGGCAGCTGTCAGCTGTCGGTCGGTCGATGACCTGGCGTTCGCTTTGCGAAGCGAACTATGTGCTGCTGGCGCATTAGATCGGCGGAACGACAGGGTCGCCTGCGGGACCCTTGGCTTTTCAGCCTTTCGGCCCGCTGCATCGCGGGGCCTGCCCATCAAAATAAACATGTTATGTAATTCCAGGGGCTTATGGCCTTGTGGCCAATCACCCCTGACTCGGGTTACTCCGCGCAGCTCGAGCAGCACTGGTGCTGCAACGTACCCCCCCCCCCCGACCACTCCCACCACTGCCCAACCCCCGCTGCCCACGGCATGCCTAGTGTTGACCGTCTCGTGGGGTAAGCATGAGTCTTCTAGGAGCCTGTTGCCCCAGGGAGGGAGCGCAGAGAGACCGAAGCCCCGACGCCCCACGGAGGCCAGAGGGCGGCGTGCGGCGCGCGGCCGAGAAACACGGCCAGACCCTGGAACGGGCGACGCGGGGACAATGGAAACGTCGGCTGCTGCTCCTGGCCATGGCTTACGCTGCACGACGGGGAAAGGATCCCACTCATCTCACAAACTCGATGCTGTCGGTTGCTTCCGATCCTCCTCAGAGTTCCCCTCAGCAGTTCCTGCGCTCTCTGTCTACCCGATCTCGCTATCTGTCGAAGGCCTGCGAGCTCTATCCCTCCGTCTGCTGCTGCCTGGCGCGGATGGCGGCTGGGAGATGCCTCTCCAAGCTTGGGGGTGGGGGCGCTGCGGAGATCTGTTCCGCTGCCACCACCCGCGGCGTGTGGACGACGGCTCTCTTGATGTCCGCGATCTGGGTGCTCTGCTGGGGCTTGATGGCCGGTTCTTGGTTCCCTCGCGGATGGCATTGATCTGGCCTTCCTTGTGTTTTGTCCAGGGGTTGCTGGCTAGGCTGATGAACACCAGGTGCGGCTTCCAGGGCCTCTGCGAATATTCCCCACGCAGGACCCGCTCGTCGCGTCGGGGCACGTCGTAGGTAACCAGCCTGTCCAGCTCGATCGTGCCGAACGAGGTCGTGGAGATCCGCTCTGTCGTACACGTGTGGCAGGGAGGCGCGGTCGCCGATCCAGTCTTGCCAATCGTTTCTGTCGCACCGCTTGCCGCTCTCCTGTGGTAGCCGGCCCAGTCCCTCTGTCCACTGTTGCACTGTCGTGCGTTGTCTCGGCGCAGATAGATAACGCTTCTTGGGCCCGTGGCCTGTGTCGGCAAGCGTCGCCCTGAGCCGATGTAGTCCTGCAAAACGGTGTCGTCGCCAAGCTTCGTCAATCTGATCTCCCAGCGCTGTGACTGTCCCTGCTCCGCGTACGCCTTCTTGACTTTGAAGTAGCTCAGGATGTCCCCGAAGTTCTGCTTGTCCGTGACTTCGGTGATGTATCGGAATTCCGTCAGGCTGGCTTTGCATTCGCCCCTGGCCTTGTCGTTATTGCCCATCTCCATGGGGGGAGTCTACGCCCTCGTGCAGGCGCGTCGGCCCCATGGTCTTGCCGCTCGTCTCTTTGGTGCACTCCGCATATGTCGTGCCTGTCGCCACGTCAGCGTCCGCCGCGGGGTGGTCTCCCGAGGCCAGGAAGGAGTCCCACAGGCTGGCAGGCACCTGGCGTACCGTCTGCGCGTTGTTGAGCGTGTGTTTCTGCCTCGTCGTGATCTCCGCCTGGAAGGATGTGTCGCCTGTGCCAGCTCCTCGGCCAGTGCCCCTCTTCGAATCTCCACGATCGAGTTTGTGCCTCACGGGCTCACGGACGCAGCAGCCAGAGGTGTAGGCGTGGCGAAGGCAGGGCGATCGGCTAGCGACTGATGTGCGGCACCAAGGGCATACGTCTGTGCCTATGGTCTTCGAGTACAGTTTCCTCGTGTTGTGCACGTGCGTGATGTGCACCGTCAGTGCCTTGACCGTGGTGAAAGACATCCCGCACCCGATGCCTTCGCCCTCTTCCCCCGTCACGTGCGTGTACCCGTACCCTGTGCTGATGTTGACGTCGTCGTTGCCGTCTGCGTCGTTGTCACTGTTCACCTGCACGTCATCGTAGTTCTCCGTCATCTTGATGCGGAGCCGCTGCAGCGACCTTTTCGCCCAGATGGCCCCTTCATGAGATAGTAGGTGCATGCCCTCGTGGTCCACGATGGCATGCTCTTGTTGGAGAACCGTCTCCTGCATAGCCTCCCGAGTGTTGTCGGCCAGCACATCCCATCATTTTTTAACGTGCCCTTGGTCCCGTGCTTGTCGCCATTCTTGTTCAGGTGTCCGTCGTGTATTCACTTCCACTCGCTGTATGAACTCGAATCTCTTGTAGCCATTGGGATACGCCGTCATCACTTGGTCGCACTTGGCCGCTGGCGTGAGCTGGATCCGGTGCGCTATGCAGATGTGAACGTCGATGTTCGCGTACACTGGCAAGTGGTCGTGTAGGTGGGTTGATAGCAGCTGGAGTCGCCGCACCAGGCCGAGAAGTAACTGAAGTTGTCGAATGCGGTCCTTTGCTGCGTCAGGCGATGTGATCTACCTTGCGCTGGCTCGCGCCCTTGTAGTACGTGGATCTTGTTCGCCAGAGTGTGTCCGCTATCGCGAGGGGGTTGCCTTCCAAGAATTCCCTCGCGATCTGGCTGGTGTGATTCTCGGGTGCGGGCTCTGCGACGCCAACTGTGTCGATCTCCTTGATGTACTTGCGCTCTGTAACGCCCACGCGGATGCCGACCGCGCAGTTGTAGTCTCCCAACACAGTCGGCAAACAGTCGTGTCCCAGCTGGTCGAGCTCCTGCTGCACCCGTTCGAAAATGTCGCGTATGATGTTCCTGCGTGCGGCGACGGCAAGGCCTCTCGGCGGCAAGTACATCGGGATGAATGCTACACTCATGGTCCCCGCCGATATGCCTGCCATCGCCGCTCGTCCTATGATGCCTCTCTGCGTAGGCGGACGAGCTATGCGCTGCACCTGACTGCTGGGCCGCTGGCTCTCCATGTCCGCTATGCCGCACGAGTTGTTGACGCCCAGTGAGTTCCGCCATCCGAACTGTATGCCCTGGTGGTTCGGCATCTGGCCTTGGGTGGCATCAACGTCGCGAGCTGCCCTCTCTGTGCCAGTGGCCACGTAAATGTCAATATTCACCGTCTGCTGTGATATTTCCTCCAGGCGTGCGAGGTCCGCCCATTGCACATTGTGATAAAGAAGTCTCATCTCCAACATCCTCAATACACTATGATGGCACGCATAAGAAGCAACTGACAAAAAAAAACGCGGGGTACGGTAACGGACTGCGGAGTGGGGTTTCTCGTCGCCGCCCGAGCGGCCCCGTCCCCGTCGTAGCGTCTTGTGTTCCACGCATCAGATTCTGTGTTGATCGTGGTTGGGGGTGGGCCGCTCGCGGGTGCCTGGGCCGTGGCGGCGGCTAGAGGACGAGGAGGATGAGGAAGGGGAGGAAGGGGAGGAGGACGAGGAGGAGGAGGAGGAGGAGGAGGAGGATATGGAGTAAAAGGCGGGGAGGCGGGGTAAGGGGTTAGAACGAGGAGAGAGGGGGACGGTGGAGCAGTGGACGGTGGAGTGCGTAAGTATTGAAATTTTGCTAAGTCGTGCTTGCTCTTAGGGCTTCTTATTTGCCATCTAGGGAACTGGGCCCGTTTGCCGCCCCTGGCGGCCCCGTTCTCGTTCGTCGCCGGACATGTGTTCCCAGCACGAGGCCGGCTTGCCGCCTTGGCGGCCTTGTGCCCCCCAGTCGCCGCCGCCCTATTGCACCACTCCGTTTCATGGCAATCGCATGGCATTGTATTGCAACCGCAGTATGTTGCATTTCATCGTTTTGTGATCGCATTGTGTTGTAGTCGCATTGCGTTACGGTGCAATCGCATTGCGTGGCTTTTCGTTGTTTTGTGCTACACGGCATTGCGTAGCGTATCATGTGTTTGCCTTGATGTGTTTTGGTTTGCATAGGTTTGCATGGTGTTGTACAGCAGGGGTCTTGAAGAAGGAACCCTTTTCGTTGGGGAGGGGCTCGGCGTTCCTTGATTGTTTTACAGTTCGCCTCGGGTTTTCCCTAGGGCTTCCATGGGACATCGAAGTTTATCTCATGGGAAAACGGGGCCTCGTTCCTTATTTAGGGTTCCTTAGGTCAACGCCCCGACTGTATGGCTTTGCATCGCTTGGTTTCGCTTTGCATTGTTGTGCTTTGCTTTGCATAGCTTTGCATTGCTTTTCATGTCTTTGCATTGCGTAGCAGTGCCTTGCATTACGTTGCAGTGCTTTGCATGAAGTTACCTTCCCGTGCATTGCGTCACGTTGCTTTGCGCCTCATAGGTTGCTTCGCATTGGTTTGCCCTACTCAGATTGCACCAAGCTGATTACACCACCTAGATTGCACCGCATACATTGAAAGACGTCACTGCTTGGCCGTTCTTCTGAATGTTGTTCTCGATTTCCAGTCCGTGGTCATTGGTTGTTGTAGTTTCTTCGGTGACCATCGTGTTATTCCCAACCCTCCTGCGTTGGGTTCTCGTTTTGAATAAAGCACTGCTCGCGCGAACCTTCCTTCCTTCCCGTCCCTCTCTTCCCCCCTGCCTTTGACCTCGCCATCCCTGGGGGGCTGCGATCTGTGAAACTGTCGCCACTTTCGAGGGCTGCTGGGGGGCCCAGCGCAGTGGGTACCCACCGCAGACTCAACTTAGACCTCATCATCCCTGGGGGGCTGCGATCTGTGAAGCTGTCGCCTCTTTGGAGGGCTGCTGAGGGCTGCGATCTGTGAAACGGTCGCCACTTTCGAGGGCTGCTGAGGGGCACAGCACAGTGGGCACCCACCGCAGACTCAAATTAGACCTCGCCATCCCTGGGGGGCTGCAATCTGTGAAACTGTCGCCACTTTCGAGGGCTGCTGGGGGGCCCAGCACAGTGGGTACACACCGCAGACTCAAATTAGACCTCGCCATCCCTGGGGGGCTGCGATCTGTGAAACTGTCGCCACTTTCGAGGGCTGCTGGGGGGGCCCAGCACAGTGGGTACACACCGCAGACTCAAATTAGACCTCGCCATCCCTGGGGGGCTGCGATCTGTGAAACTGTCGCCACTTTCGAGGCCTGCTGGGGGGCCCAGCACAGTGGGTACCACCGCAGATCAAATTAGACCTCGCCATCCCTGGGGGGCTGCGATCTGTGAAACTGTCGCCATTTTCGAGGGCTGCTGGGGGCACAGCACAGTGGGTACCCACCGCAGACTCAAATTAGACCGGCCACCTCTGGGGGGCTGCGATCTGTGAAACTGTCGCCACGTTCGAAGGGGCACAGCACAGTGGGTACGCTCACCTCGCCATCCCTGGGGGGCTGCGATCTGTGAAACTGTCGCCACTTTCGAGGGCTGCTGGGGGCACAGCACAGTGGGCACCCACCGCAGACTCAAATTAGACCTCGCCATCCCTGGGGGGCTGCGATCTGTGAAACTGTCGCCACTTTCGAGGGCTGCTGAGGGGCACAGCACAGTGGGTACCCACCGCAGACTCAAATTAGACCTCGCCATCCCTGGGGGGCTGCGATCTGTGAAACTGTCGCCACTTTCGAGGGCTGCTGAGGGGCACAGCACAGTGGGTACCCACCGCAGACTCGAATTAGACCTCGCCATCCCTGGGGGGCTGCGATCTGTGAAACTGTCGCCACTTTCGAGGGCTGCTGAGGGGCACAGCACAGTGGGTACCCACCGCAGACTCAAATTAGACCTCGCCATCCCTGGGGGGCTGCGATCTGTGAAACTGTCGCCACTTTCGAGGGCTGCTGAGGGGCCCAGCACAGTGGGTACCCACCGCAGACTCAAATTAGACCTCGCCATCCCTGGGGGGCTGCGATCTGTGAAACGGTCGCCACTTTCGAGGGCCGCTGAGGGGCACAGCACAGTGGGTACCCACCGCAGACTCAAATTAGACCTCGCCATCGGGGGGCTGCGATCTGTGAAACTGTCGCCACTTTCGAGGGCTGCTGAGGGGCACAGCACAGTGGGTACCCACCGCAGACTCAAATTAGACCTCGCCATCCCTGGGGGGCTGCGATCTGTGAAACTGTCGCCATTTTCGAGGGCTGCTGAGGGGCCCAGCACAGTAGGTACCCACCGCAGACTCAAATTAGACGCCGCTTTCGTCCTTGTTCTCCTCCTGCAGTCACCTTCCCTCTGCTGCTGCCGTGCTGATGGCTCGGCTTCCCGCACGTTTTTCTCCTGCTCTGCGTTCCCTACTCCCCATGTCCTCTTCGAGCCTGTGGTTGTCGCCCCTCGTTCTTGTATTGTTCTCCTGCGCATCATGCCATAGGCGCGTGTCCCGAGTAGATTACACATCCAGTTGCTTGTCCATGCAAGTTTCGGCCAACTCCTCGCTTCCATTGGTACAAATGGGTTGGGTACGTCACAGGGTAATTGTTTTATTGTGTTATTGCTGCCCGCCGTTCGCATAAGGAATCGATGGTGCAGTTCGCCCTCCAAGCCGAAAGGCTGTCATCCCCCGCAGGCGGATTCTTGTAGCCGATCCTCTACATCATGAGTACGTCGGCGAACCCGCCGCAGAAGTAACCGGAGGAGGAGGAGGAGGAGGATACTTCTACGGAAGGCGAGGCTGCGCAAGAGGGAGGACAACGCTGGCGAGGAGGTTGAGGCAGAGGATGAGGATAAGAGAGGCCATCAGGAGGCGATGAGGCGAAGAGGAATCGCGGAAACCGCTTATGATGTTGATATGTGGGGGTCCAACCTCTCCCTCTCTCTCTCTCTATCGCTCGCTCTCTCTCTCTCTCTCTCTCTCTCTCTCTCTCTCTCCCTTTCTCTCTATATATATAAATAGAGATAAAACTCGTGCTCACTCTCTCTATTCTCTCTCTCCCTCTATCTACCTCTGTTCTCTCTCTCTCTCTCTCTTCTCTCTTCCTCTTTTTCTGTCCTCTCTCTCTCTCTCTCTCTCTCTGGCGTTCGCGACTGGGGCCTGCAGGGCCCCCAGCACCGTGTTGTGACGGACCGCGCGGGGAGGTCACGGTGGGGATGCCGAGGCCACCGCGCGGCCCGCCACCGCGCGGCGTTGGGGCCCCGACGCAGAGGAGCACATGGAGGCGCAGATGAAGTTCGCGGCCGAGATGCAGAAGATGCAGGCGGCCCACGGGCAGCCGCAGCACCCGTGCTGAGCTCGCCGAGGGCCCCCGCGGCCCGCCGAGAGGCGGCGGGGAGCCACGGACGGCAGCGGCGCCGACGACCCTCAGCCAAGGAGGGGGAAGCCACCCTGAGCCCCGCAGCTGCCGTCCGCTAGCCGCAAAGGGTCTTCAGCCCCCCTCCCCCATACAAAAGATGATGAACGGGAACAGGATCATGTTCTGCACGGGCCCAGTGACGGATTGGAGCCCCCAGTATTATTAGAGAGATACACTGCTCCCGCCCCATCCCCTGCCTCCTCCTCTTCCTCTCCTCCTCCGCCTCTTCCTCCTCTTCCTCCTCCTCCTCCTCCTTCCCTTCCGCCTCCTCCTTCCCTTCCTCCTCCTCCTCCTCCTCCTCCTCCTCCTCCTCCTCCTCCTCCTACGCCTCTTCCTTCTCCTCCTCCTCCTCCTCCTCCTCCTCCTCTTCCCCCTCCGCCTCCTCCGCCTCTCCTCCTCCATCTCCTCCGCCTCCCCCTCTTCCTTGATCCTGCGATCCCGGCGTCGATGTTTTGTCTCAGGGCGGGCGAGGCTGCCTCCTTCCTCGGGCCCCGGGGCCTTCGCGGATCGACTCGGCTCTCGAGGCATGCCGCAGAGAGAGGCGGGTTCCACAGGCCCAGAGGTCCGGTGGAGCTTCTGTTGTGGAACGATGCGGCAGCCGGCTCGTGGCGGTGGATGTCGGGGAGCAGTCCTGAGCGTTTGCTCGGAGGAGGACGAGGTACCCAGACCGCTACCCTCCCCCCGCTCTCCTCCTTTTTCGGCCTTCTGGGAGACCTTCGTCGCCACCGCTGGATTCGCCTCGAAATTCTGGCCAGAACGCGCTCCAGGAGAGCTCCGGGGAGTACAGTCGAGCTTGATTGGCAGGTCGACTCTGCCAAATCAAGGGTACCCTTGTGTCCT